CCTTATTATAGCTATAGTATGATATACACCAAAACCCTATTCTAATTGTTCAGGGCCCCTACATTATGCCCTAAACCCTAAACCCTAAACCCTAAACCCTAAAGCCCTAAAGCCCTAAAGCCTAAACCCTAAACCCTAGACCCTAAACCCAAAGCCCTATAAACCCTGAGCCCTAAACCGTTGACGCCCCGGCCAGGCCTTAAAGGAAGAGCTGGCCGGAAAGGCGAAAGCGCACACGGAGGAGGCAGCCAAGGACTCAAGTCCCGAAACCCGAAACCCAAAACGGTTTAGGGTTTAGGGTTTAGGGTTTAGGGTTTAGGGCCTAAACCCAAGACCCCAAACTCAAAACCCGAAACTCTCAACCCCAAACCCAAAACCCTAAAACCCCCAAACCCAAAACCCAAAAGCCAAAACCCTAAATCGGGTCAGTGCTAAGCGGGTCGAAGGTCCGAGGTAGGGAGCGAAATCAGGGGCTTCGGGGTTGAGGGCTTTGGGCTTTGGGTTTAGGGTTTAGGGTTTAGGGTTTAGGGTTTAGGGTTTGGGGTTATTGAGGGCTTTGGGTTGAGGGTTCTATACAGGCTTCCGCTTTCAGGCTTTGGCCTTATGGTTCAGGTTTAGAGCTTAGCGTGTAGGTCTAGGTTTGTGGTTTAGGGCTTTGGGTTGAGGGTTCTATTCCGCTTTCAGGCTTTATCTAAGGTTAGAAGTTAGAAGTATGGGCCCAGAATATGGACCCTTAGGGAGGTCTGGGGACCCTTAAGGGTACATATAGAGTATATAGTAGGTATATAAGGATCCCAAGCTTAAGGGCCCATACCAGGGGCCCATGGTTTCAAGCTTAGACTTTAGCCTTATGGTTCAGGTTTAGAGCTTAGCGTGTAGGTCTAGGTTTATGGTTTAGGGTTTCGGGTTTGTTTTGGGTGTAGTGCCTCAACCCAGCTTGCCTTGTTGTATCTGATCTTTACTGTTGAGAATGATACCTTTCACAAGTTGGATGCTCGTGGATTTCTGCACGTAAGAGAGAGAGAGAGAGAGAGAGAGAGAGAGAGAAAGAAAGAGATACAGAGAGAGAGAGAGGTAGGTCTGGGTGTGCTGCAGGAGGCGGGGCCTGAGGGCGAAGTGGCGGACGGCGATGCAGCAAAGCCGCCTGAAGATGTGCAGATGACAGAAGTACAGGGCGACAAGGACAAAGAGAAGGAAGAGAAGGGGGAGGCGGCTTTGTTGCTGCTGCCGTAGTTTTGTCACGCTATTGCTTCAGCTCCTTGCCCTCCATGCCTTGTTCGGTGCATGCTAATATTATTATATAAGTATAATATCTTCAAATACAATCTAAAAAATATTATTGATTGGATAATAATATTATCCAGGCTAGTAGGAGTTGCTGCTTTGATGTCGTGGGTTCTTGTCGGCCCGAGTTCCAGCAGCGGAGCGTTCAGGCCCTTCGAGCTCCATGTAGCCCAGAGACTCCAATATCCCTTAACTAAGGAATATACCTTAAATCTTATTCGGGTTCCTATTATGATTTAAGGTATATTCTTTAATTAAGGGATATACCTTAAATCTTATTAGGGTTCCTATCATGATTTAAGGTATATTCCTTAATTAAGGGATATTGGCGTCTCTGGGAGACCTAGGTGAGATGACGAATGAGTCCTGAAGATGCAAGGTGCAGCAGAATTTTGAGCAGTTGAGACTTATAGGGGCTGAGTAGGTAACCTTTAACCTTTAGCCCTTTTGGGGCTCATATAATCCTACTATACTGAAAAGGTTAACCTTTTTTTGGGCAAGGGTACTCAGCCCCTAAACCCTAAACCCTAAACCCTAAATCCTAAACGCCCGAAACCCTAAAAACCCTAAACCCCAAGCGCAAATGTAGCAGCCGTGGAGCTCCTTCCAAAAGACTCCGCCGCAAAATCCCCAAGCTCAACTGCACGTTTTGGGTTTAGGGTTTAGGGTTTAGGCTTGACCTGCTGGTGTGGCGGATATGCGCATGACAGGTACGATGTGACATGAAGCCAAGTCCATAATATAGAAGCCATAGAAGCCTAGATGATTGCCAAAATGACCGATAGGGTTCCTTATTTTAAGTATAATATAATAGAGCCCAAAGCCTTATTCTAATTATTAAGGCATCAAACCCGCAACCCTGAACCCTAAAACCTTAATCTAAGGGTCCATGTACCCAAATAGTATATACTTTGCCCCCCTACATTATGTTTTTTTTTTTCCCCCGGGCGATGTGCTCGCCGGTGGGTGAACTTGGGGTTTGTGGACGCAGCACGTGATAGCCAGCTTCGAATCCTGGGCCCGAAGCCGTGAATCCTAAGGGTTTAGGGTTTAGGGTTTAGGGTTTAGGGTTTAGGGTTTAGGGTTACCGGTTTAGGGTTTAGGGGCTTTAAATAATTACCTGTACTATTTTGGGGGTTCCTTACTATATGTTTATGGTATAATATACCCCAAAGCCCTATTCTAATTATTTAGGCCCCTACATTAATCCCTCTAAGACCCTCGAACCCCGAAGCCTAAATCCCGAACCCTAAAACTTTCTCCTTGCCTCGCTCGGAGGTGCAGGAAGGCGAGCCGCCTGCGAAGCGAAGGGCCATCGGCGAAGCAGGACCCTTTTAAGGGCTTATAGGGGGCTTCGTATTTCAGTGCTAGAACCCTAAACCCTAAATCCGTTTAATTTAAGGGCTTTGCAAGGGGCTTTGTATTTCAGTCTTAAAAGGAGGGTTTTTGACCAAGCAGCGTGGTGGGCCTATAGAATTACCTATGCTATTTTGGGGGGTTCATTATTACAAATTTATAGTATAATGGGCCCCAAAGCATTATTCTAAAGGTGGAGGCCCCTACATTACAAGCCGGACTTCTGCGTTCGGTGTAAAGAGGGAAAAGAAGAAGTTCCTCACGGGACGCGGGTCCCGCCATGGCGCGGGGCACAGTTTTGTGCATTTAGAGTTTAGGGTTTTAAGGGTTTGCGCTCAGGTCCTGTGAATTTACACGGGACCCGAAGGGCCGGGTAGTTTATCAGGAGTTTGTGGTTCAGGGTCATCTAAAACCCTAGCAATTAGAATAGGGTTTTGGGGTCTGATATACTATAAATATAAGAAGGACCCCCCTAAAAAAATAGTATAGGTGATTATTTAGGCCCTACATTATCAGCCGCCAACTTGTGGGTTCGCTAAACCCTAAACCCTAAACCCTAAACCCTAAACCCTAAACCCTAAACCCTAAACCCTAAACCCTAAACCCTAAACCCTAAACCCTAAACCCTAAACCTAAGCCGGTCAGCTCCAAGGCGGCCCTTGGCTGGCTGTACCGTCATGTTGCGCAATCCCAGACCCCCAAAAGGATCTAAAAAAATAGATCCCCTAAGGGGGTTCCTATAAAGTACCCTTTAGTAGTTTGGGTCCCTAATTAGGGAATCTATTTTTTAGATCCTTTTGGGGGTCTGGGTTCCTATGAAACTTAAGAGATACTATTCCTCCTACATGGAGAATGGAGCATGCCAGGAACAGCCCCACAAAATGCGTTGCTTCGACAGTTGTCCCTCAAGTTTCATCATCTTCCGTATGTTCCAGAGTTCCAGAACCCTAAACCCTAAACCCAACTGGGTGGGAGGAAGCCAGACCGCTGCAGCGACTGGCGCAGGCCAGAGCAACTCAGGGGGCCCAGGATCAGCTTGACTGGATTTAGGGTGTTTTAGGGTTTAGGGTTTAGGGTTTGGGGTTTAGGTTTTGGGGAGAACGTTAGGGCTGTTAGGCTTAGGGTTTAGGGTGCAGGGTTTTGACTGGATTTAGGGTGTTTTGGTTTTGGGGAGAACGTGAGGGCTCTTAGGTTTAGGGTTTAGGGTGTAGGGTTTTGAATGGATGTAGGGGTGTTTTGGTTTTGGGGAGAGGGTTGGGGCTGAGGGAGGGTAGGGTTTGTGGGGGTTGAGGGTTCGAAATTGTTTCGCCCTCTTTGACCCTGAATGCTTAAATCTAGAAGAAGGGTCCAGGAGAGAAAGTTACCCTGCTCCCTTGAAATCTTGTCCGGTTCTTCTGTTGGTGCGTGGTCGATTCTCGAACTTGGTAAGTAAGGCGAGGTATGTATGTCGGAACCTCCAGTTGGGTACTAATGTCCCTAAATATCCAAGTCGTCTCATCCTCCGAGTATCTGGCATGGGTGCAAAAGGCCCTTGGCGTTTGGACGAAGTCGTCGTGGAAGTGGCGGAGGCGGAGAAGACATACCCGGAAGGCAGGTGGGAGCCTATGGAACGCATGGAAGGTCGTGGGACATCTGAGAAATATGCAGAAAGAGTAACCCTAAACCCTAAACCCTAAACCCTAAGTTATGGGTTTGGGGATTTGGGTGAGGGATGTGGGGCTACCGGTGCTTGAATCAGCTTGGGATTTGAGGCATAGCGAAGTAACAGAGCTTCCTTAGAGACTCCAAAACCACTTAATTAAGGAATACACCTTAAATCATACTAGGGATCTTATTATAATTTAAGGTATATTCCTTAATTAAGGGGTTTTGGAGTCTCTGGGTCCATCACTGAGGGTTTAGGGTTCAGGGATCTGCCATCTGGAGCTGGAGCGACTCCTTCAAAAGGGTATCCTCCAGGCTATGATCCTTCTCAACGGGTTTAGGGGACTTGGTAGTAGATGTTCTAAGTACGTATATAATCAAGATATCCCCCAATTAAGGTACTTTCAACTCCACCGATGGCCTCTATGGACTTATATTCCAAGTTCAATCATCCTTCCAAGTATGACACACGAAAACAGTCCTTTAAGTTTTAAGCCCTAACCCAAGCCTTAACCCTAAACCCTAAACCCTTAAGCCTTAACCCTTAGAGGTTATCCCAGCAGCAGCAGCAGCAGCAGCAGCAGCAGCAGCAGCAGCAGCAGCAGCAACGGCAACAACAACAGCGACGACAACAAGCAACCACAGAACCACAGCGCGACCACGACTACGACCACCACCCGACCCCGACCACGACACAACCACCACAACATCATCAATGACAAGGTTAGCAACAAGGCACAACTCGTCGACATCAACATCGCTGCCATGATCGTCTTGAGAACAACATCATCATCATCATCGTCCTGGTCGTCATCGCCACTGCTTCCGCCAGCACTACGCTGCCTCTGTCGGCAGCACCAGCACTACCGCCAACAGTTCGGGACATGTACGGTTTGCAGCACCCAAAGACTTGCCATGAAACCCCGCTGAGATGTAGTCAAGGCCGCGTTCTGTAAACTTTGACTTCCGTGTATGTGAGTTGGCGATGCGAAAGTCGATTTTTATACAGCTCAAAGGCTCAAGGGCATCGCGCAGTGTTGTCTTCCAGATATCTAAACCCCAGTCCTAGGCTAAACACGCGTTGCATTGGATTCATTCCGCTTGCAATGTTCTCCGCCAGATTTGATGGCGAAAGGATGATTCAGGAGCAACAATTTCCTGTGTTGACGCATGAGCCTCACAATCTTCAAACAACACTGGATCGAGGACACTTGGGATAATGAGGGTGGCTGTGGAATTGCGCCTTTGGGAAGGCGAACATTTTGTGTTCGGCTTGAACTTGACAGGTAGACTCAGGTAGACAGTAGACATCACATATTTCGAAAAATGCCAGCTTGAGAATTCATTCCACCTCGCTTTTCTAGCCTCACAAAGCATGCGTTGATTTGTAGATGCTTTCCGGTTGAAGCATTCCAACACCTCAAACTTGGAGCTTTGGGTGCAGATCGGGATTACATATCTTGAAGGGTCAGGGATACTTGCATTGGACCAAGCGGCACAATATGCCGAACTTTCACTTGTCCTCGCACATCCGACATTCAACACAGCGTGTTAATTGGAAACCCTTCGTTTGCATGTTGCATCATGCTGGGTGCATGCATGCCGATACCGTGGGATGCTTGCGCCGCACTCACTTGGCAATCTCCAGTGGCACGCATCACGATTTTGTCGATGTCCCGATGTTCTGGCAGGAACATTGCTATTTATGTAAAGATGCATGTGCCATGCTTCCTTCGGACTGAACCCCAAAGCCCTGCCAGGTGTTATGCAGAAAGCCGATGACGAGTGGGAGCTGAAGATGGAGGAGTGGCCTGGGGAAGCCTCAGCCATAAAAGCACTAATATGGGGGCCTAAATAATTATCAACACTATTTCGGTGGTTCCTTGTTATAATTATAGTATAATGGGCCCCAAATCTATACTATTTTTTGGGGGGGTTCCTTATCTTGAAGGATCACGGAACCTAGCATCTAGGGTTATTCTTAGGGTACTTTTGCTTATAGCCCCAATTAAGGTAGGATCCTCCAAGTATTGTTCGAAGCCTGGATAGTTTTTATACTACTAGTCTCAAGGGGATCGAAAAGTGTGCCATAGTCTGTCCTTCACAACTGCACTCCCGGATCAGCCTCTATTACAACAGCCGGATTAGAAGGATAAACTCTTCACAGAGCGTCTCCAGCACCCCGACGTTGTCGTTATGGCCATTTTCGCCATGATCGTCATACTGTGAGATGCCACCATCGGTCAACCGTATTAGCATCATTGTTGCACTTCTTTTGCCGTCTCCCCAACTTCTCAACTGAGGCCCTCCTGACACCCAAGCGCGCCCTGTTTCAATTCTTGGAAGCCCTGCACCCAAAGCTCTAAAACCCACCCCAAAGCACGAAGGCTCGAAATATCGGGGCTTCAATAATTACCTATGTTCCTTATTATTCTTATGATATTATTATTATGATGATGATTATGATTATCCTTATCATCATCATTATTATTGTATTCATATTATTGTTATAGTAACTTAGTATAATGGGCCCCACAACCCTATTCTAATTATGAAGGCCCCTACAGTAAACCTGGAACCTGAAGAAGGCCCTCAGCCCTGACCAAGCCTTCAAGCCCGATCCCAAAGCGAAGTGAAGGAAAACCCGCACGGCTCATCGAGTTTTTAGGGGTTTAGGGTCTAGGGTCTAGAAGTCTAGGGGTTTAGGGGTTTAGGGTTTTAGTATTTTGGGGTTTAGGGTTTAGGGTTTAGGGTTTAGGGAGCTTTCAATTTCCGGTATAGGATCCTCTTAGGACCCTTATGGAGCCCTTATCATAGGAGCCACATAGAACTTTTTCAGGAAAGCCCTAAACCCGAAACCCTAAACCCTAAACCCTAAGCAAACTTGGGAGGAGGATCCAGATCTGCAAGATGGAGCAGTGCTGCTGGGACGCGATCATTTCGGGTGGGGGGGGGGGTTTAAGGTTTAGGGGTTTAGGGTTTAGGGTTTAGGGTTTAGAGTGGGCTATCTAGGGGTAAGGGTTTGGGTTTAGGGTTTAGGGTTTAGGGTGGGCTATCTAGGGGTAAGGGTTTAGGGTTAAGGGCTTAGGGGTTTGGTAGGGTTCTTCTTCATATCCTTCGTTAGAGCTCTGAAGCAGTTGCGGGTTCCTGGTTGAGTAGGTACGGTTGATGATATAAATCCTGCATTACCGAGGGAATACACCATAATTCCCATAGTTTAGGGTCCTTAAGGTAATGCGGGGCCCTAAGCCGTAAGCCCTGAAGCTTAAACCCTAAAATTCCCATAGTTTCGGGGTCCTTAAGGTAATGCAGGGATTTCTATCATCATCCGTACAAAGGAGCCTTTCAGAGTAGAGCGCTTTTCGGGTAGAAGCCCAGGCCTAAACCCTAAACCC